TTTTCCCATTTTTGTGTTCATGAGTTCTCAATTTTCAAGCTCTGGACAAAGCTTGAGGAGAGCAAGCCACCATCCAGAACCCTACTGTCCCTGCATGGTTGAGTGACCGTGAGTCTGAGGTAGATTTCACTCCCACAGTCAGCATCCTGCAGTCTGAAGATGCAACATACTGTTATTGGCAACAACATAAAACTTGCCTCTCTTGTGTGACAAAACTGAGTAAAGGCAGTGCAACGATCCAACGATGTTATCTTGTTCAAGTCATTCATGCATAATTGATTAAATCAGGTAGAAAGCTCAGTGAAAGAGATTTTGAAATGCTAGTTTCTGTGATCAAAGAACACAGAGATTGTAACCACATACTGTTGGTTAGAATTTTGGCTCTTACACTTAATATTTGTGTAAATTTGGCAAATGAATTACACATTTTTATCTTGTTTTTTTCATCTTTAATAAAGGAAAATAAAGAAGTAACTATAGTATAAGACTATTATAATTAAGTGATTAAATATTTATAAAATTTTTATAATTTTCAAATGTATTAAACACTAAAAAATTACTAACAATCATTGTAATTTTGCTACATCTCTTAATTATGTAGATACAATGTTTCCCCAAATACTGTTTCTTTGACATTATTTACTAAATTACGATTTCCCCCCAAAACTCCTACTATGTTAAATGGCAGATAAATTTATTTCATGCTGAACTGCTAAAAACAGATATACAAAGCTGGAAAAAATATTAAAAGCTGATATTGTAAGGTACCATGTACCTTCAAATAGGGACTATGAAATACACACTCTGACTCCGTTTTTGATGTCTGATCACTGGCAGCTTTCAATCCCCACCTTCCACTTTATTTGTGCACATATTTGTGCAACTGCCTGCAGGACAGTCAAGCCTCATATATCCTCAGCAATGCAAGATAACATATCTCCAGTCCAACTATAAAGTCTCAGCCCTCTGTCTAACTCAAGCCAGCTTATTCCAGCTTGTGCATATCTTGCTCTCCCCAAGATTCCCTTGTGTGAGTTACAATATTTCTTCCAAATTCTCTTGTACATGGAGTGTCAACAGCTTCACCATAGTATCTATTAATTAGAAAAGAGCCATATCACCTCCATGGGTGACTGTAAAATATGCCAAGAGAGCAAGTATTTGAGGAATCAAGAAAAGAAAATAAGCTTTTATGAACTTAATATTTGTGTTCCCTCAGAATTCACAATTTGAAGCCTTAACTCCATGTGTGGGTGTATTTGGAGATGGTCTCTAAGAAAGTAACTACAGCCAAATGAGGCTGTAAGGTTGAGGTTCTGATCTGATTCCATTAGTGTCCTTATAAAAAAAAAGAGAGACCAAATCTATCAGGCCATTCTTGTAGTGCTATAAAGAAATATCTGAGACTGGATGATTTATAAACAGAAGAATTTTACTTGGCTCACAGTTTTTCAGGCTTTGTAGGAAGCATGGTGCTGACACCTGTTCAGCTTCTGGGAGGGTCTCAGGAAGCTTACAGTTATGATGGAAGGCTAAAGGGGAGCAGGCCCACCACATGGCCAGAGAAAGAGCAAAAGAGAGAGAACAAATTGTCATATGCTTTTAAACAAACAGATCTCATGAAAACTCACTTTCATGAAAACAGCACCAAGAACATCTTCTAAACATCTCATGAGTGCTAAACCTATATATGAGAAATCTATACTTTAGATTAGAAACTCCCATGTATACTTTACCCAGATTCATTTAGACTTTCTACTTTCAAATTCTTTCTATGTTTATGAGTTGGCATCTAGTTACTATTGATTCAGAACCAATCACCCAAAACTCATGGCAGATACTGGGGATTACAATTCTGCATGACATTTGGGTAGAAACAAATTTACAAACAACATCATCCCACATATGGACTCTCTCAAATCTCATGTCCTTTTCACACTTGAAATACAATAATTCCTTCTCAATAACTGCCCAAAGTCTTACCTTATTCTAATTTTAACTCAAAAGTCCCAAGTCCAAGTTTAAAACCACATCTGAGACTCATTTCCTTTCACTGAAAATTTGCCAAAATAGTATAAGACTCCCATGTATACTTTACCCAGATTCAATTAGACTTTCTACTTTCAAATTATTTCTGTATTTATGAGTTGGCATCTAGTTACTATTGATTCAGAACCAACCAGCCAAAACTTATGGCACATTAAAATTGACATCATTGTACTATTATGTTTGTGATTGTAAATTACATGCATTTCATATTGAACTAGGGAAATAAAACATGAAGAAAATTTTCTATTTGAAACAACAAATAAATTATAATATGTATAAGGATTTATGAAAGTGGAAACCCTTGAAAGATTTATTGCAGCTGATAAAGAGATGAAATAAAGTGGGTTGTTCAAGAAGAGGAAGCTGTGGTTTGTGATTGTAAAAGTCTGTTGGTGGGGATAGAAATCAACAAAACCTCAAAGTTAATCCAAGTAAGTTAAAAATGTGTTGATAAATACAGTCATTCTTTTTTTAAAAAATTTAAAAAGTATATATATTTTATTGCACTTTAGGTTCTGGGGTACATGTGAAGAACATATGGGATTGTTGCATAGGTACATACATGGCAATGTGGTTTGCTGCCTCCATCCCCATGACCTATATCTGGCATATCTCCCCATGCTATCCCTCCCCAATAAATGCAGTCATTCTAAATGAAAAATTCCTCAAATATAAGGCATATAATGCATAGTAAATTAATTGTAGTAATCCGAGTATAACAATGACAATATTACTCATGCAAAACTAGGAATCATAATTCAAGGGCAATAACATGTTTTACCATCATGCTAATTTTAATATATGGTAAGATTTAATAACCAGTATTTCCCTTGACTTTGAAATTTAAAATTATAGATGTATATAGGTGTAACGAAAAATAAATATGACATATATGCTTCTGTTTTGTTTCTTCAGTTTCTTCCCATTCTGTCTTGCTTGGGATTCACTCACAATGGTCATTTGTTAACTTTTAAAAATAAAACATCTAACCTCTCAAGATCATTCTACTCTATATGAGGAATTACAACAACTGACACAAAAAGTTCGTCAGTGAGAGGAAGAGATGTCTGTGCTTGGTCCTTTTATGTTACGCACTAGTCCAGAGCACAAGAGCCTAAGAACAGACACACTGCCTGAAGAACAAGGCATTCTTGCTTAAATGTTATCTCCTTTCTGTAGGAAATTTTCATTTCACATGCTTCAGCTCTCCATTTTTCATTCTGATTAGGTCTCCTTAGTTTGTTTCTTGAACCAGTTCTTCCTTGTCTGAAGGAACTTTTCCACCTCCTGGGACCATTCCCAAACACCACTGGGCATGAGTACCATTCACTGGGTAGTAAAAATATGGACCCAGGTTTGGCAAGACTAGGAAAAATTTTGAAAGTATTTAATGGGCATCTCAAAGCTACCTTGGATTTATTTTCTTACATCCAGATATATTCTAGTTCTTCCAAATACCTCCTCACTCAGAGGTTTTTTCTTTCCATTGCATAGATTGGCAATAAAATAGAATCTCCGCACTGATGGTGGAAATGAAAAATGGTGCCACAGGTTTGGAAAACAGTCTGCAATTCAAGTGGTTAAACAGAGTTACAATATGATCCAGGAAGCTCTTACGTGTGGGCCCAACAAAAAGGAAAACATGTATCTACACAAAAACTTGCACTTGAATGTTCTTAACAAGTTGCTGCCCATCTTTTGAATTATTTAGGAATGGCTTTGTTCTAAAAAGAGATCACCAGAATTCCACACAAACCCAGAAACCTGACCATATCATCTCTGCTATAGGCGCAGATGAATTATAGAAGATCTCTTCATGCTGAGTTGAATGGGATTGAGTCTCTTTGCACAGGAACTTCGCCAAACCTTTGGTGATTACAAACCTCAACACCTTTTCTCATCACTTTCCCATGAAACTCGCAGTTGCACAGGCTCAATCCAGGAAGCCAGGTAGTGGTCTCTTCAACTCTGTGACTCTTCACAAGAAATACATTGGGACTTGTTTTTAGGTTTATGTCATCAACCTGCAACACCCACTGCCATCTGAAGTTCACCAAATGTAAGTTAAAATTCAGGAAGATTGCCCAATATGATAGACACAATAGCTCATGTCTACTATAATTCCTTGCATGTTCCCATTCCTAAAGTACCCTCGAAGTCTTAAAATGGTTATCATCCTCTATACTTCTAGCGGTGTATAGGGTAAATTCCATGCCCTGCATGTTCCAGTGTATGCTTTTACTTTTAAAACTCAACTTTTGGAATTTCAAGAATTCCTTTTATGATCTATCATAAGAGGTAATCAAGGCAAATCAAAGAGTTTTAGCATTTAGATCTTGTATCTGACATTAATTTACAAAAGTCTATTTAGGCAATCAAAAGCCAAGATTTTTGCTAATTGCCCCCAACTAGCCTCCAGTATAAATGGGGAGCTACATTTTACAACTAGTGTAAAATCTTGTCTACAGTGCCTTTATTACATAGGGAGATAAGCCATAAGCAAGGAGAGTAGAAAGCTTGGAAGGTGGAAAATACTGATTTTTAAATATTACCAAATAATTATCCTATTGCAATATATAAAAACAGATAAAATATATAAAAATGACGAGGCACTCAGCATGTGTTGCCAAAAACTTGTGTCAACTGCCTGGCACTTATGCTGATTCACTTCAATTGGCAAATGAAGAAAGGAGGATTCAAATGAGCTTTTATTCAGTTGCATCATGAATCAGCAGCAGCTTCATGGGAACCTCCCCCACTCTCCTACTGCTTTTGCCATGTCAAAGCTGTTGCAGCTCACACGTGATTAGTACCTGAGATGTAACAAAGGGATTCATGAGACCAGTCTATTCCTCTGAGTTGTCCAACATTTTCCTCATGCACAGACTCAGAGAACTTGCCGTGCTGCTCCCCAGACAAACAACGCGCATGAGCAGCTGGGCTACTTCAAGCAGAGAGGTTAGTGTTCAGGGCTGTAGCACTGTGGGAGGATTTTTTGTACCTTGCATGCAGTAATAAACTCCAACATCCTCCGTCTCCACACGGCTGATTTTCAGTGTGAAATCTGTCCCTGACCCACTGCCACTGAACCTGTCTGGGACCCCAGAGGCCCTGTTGGAAACTTTATAGATTAGAAGCTGTGGAGACTGGCCTGGCTTCTGCAGGTACCAATCCAAATAGGTGTTTCCATTACTATACAGGAGGCTCTGACTAGACCTGCAGGAGATGGAGGCTGGCTCTCCAGGGGTGACAGGCAGGGAGAGTGGAGTCTGGGTCATCACAACGTCCCCACTGGATCCTAAAATAAACAGAAAGAAGTGCGAAGATATGTACAAATATCACGTGTTATTTTCATTTGTTGCTTATTTCAGGCTGTATAATTGTTTGTTATTTGTGTTTGTACACCAAACATATTCCATTTGAAAAAAGAATACAAGATTTGCAAGCCACAAAGAGGATTCTAGAAGTCACCGACATCTCCCTTTTTCTGTGTGACAATCTTCACCAGAGCACAGGCACTTGCTTCTTCTTGAATCTTCCTCACTCTCACAGATCTAAACCTCACATTCCCTGTCCTAGAGGACAAGACCTGTACATCTAACACATGGGCAGAACAGAAGACACATGAGAGGCAGTGGGGCCCCCAGAGCTTACCCTCCCTCCCCATTCTCTTCCCTCATCTTCTTCTGTCCTTACCAGGGACCCAGAGCATTAGCAGCCCCAGGAGCTGAGCACGGAGCCTCATAGTGAGAAGGTGCACTGAGGAGTCCTGATCAGTCAAGGCAATGCTGGGCCATTATCTCAGACTCGCAAGGAGGATCTTTTCTAGGCGACAATATGCAAATCCGCTGGTGGGTACAGTGATTCCAAGAGAGACAACAGGAGGAAGAGGACCTCTCTTGTGGGCAAAGAGACATAAAATATCCTTCGTGTTTCAAGGAAAACTAACCAAGGTAAAATCTGTGTTGCCTCAGTAGGAGAAGGGACATATTATAATATTTCCTTTTTTTCCCCACCTGTTTTTCAACAGTTCTTTAGCACTGTTCCAGGCACATTTTGTGCTTGTCTCTGATAAAGCTGAGTTTCTATAAATATTGCTTCATTCTTTTTTCTTGTCTAGAACTTTCTTAAAGGAATCTAGGTTTGGCTATTTTATTTTTTCATTGAGATAAACCACTATCCATCTGAAACTATAGGATATTTCAAAATTTCTGAATAATTCTCTCATACATCTTCCCAATCAATAACTGCTTTCCCATCCTAACCGAAGTAACTGTCTTTCTGACGTCTACCACAATAGTTTGTTTGTACTTAGAAGTGAATATCATAGAAATTGAAGTAAATTTTTTTATTGTTGTGTCTAGTTTTTTTTTTTTCCCCATTCCTTTACTATTTTGAGGCCTTTATTTCTGCTTATGGATTCAAATTATTGTCCTCTATAATTTCCTGTGATTCTGAAGAATTTTTTTCTTAAATTGATTGCAGATAATTTATTGAATGTCTACAAGTAATAATTCTCTTTGTGTTTATGAAGATGAGGACTAAGCTCTGATTTTTTTTTTTTTTAACCTTGCCCCGGTTCCAATCTAAGGTGTTTGGGGAGTCATGCCCTACAAACTAAATTCTCATCAGATGGGTTTTATTTAACCCTACATATCATGACTTACTTTTCAGCCTGGCTCTGGTGTAACATGACGCAACAAGGAAGAAAATCAAAATATTTTAACCTAAAGTATGTTTCTTTTCTCTATCCTGAAATGGCCCTGCAAAGCTATCTTTTGTGAGAAAAAAAAATTTGCATCTCTAAAGCATCTCTATTACAGAGAGTCTCAATCTTGAGGAAGAGTCTAGCACCATTTAAAATTCTGAATTGGAGGCCGGAGGGCGCGGTGTGGGGGGGCTTTTGAAGCAGTGTGAAGAGATGTAAAATAATTATTGCATGAAAATTGCAAGCTATGAACTCGGATGATTAAGTAGCAGTAGTAGTAATAATAATAATAATGATAATAATGATAATAGTAATAATACCCAGAACCAGCTTGGACTCTGGGCCATTGCTATCCTGGATCCCAGAGCCCTCTCTAGGATCGCTGTTGTGCACGTGCCCCCTCTTGTGGTCAACTGTGGCAAGACACCTGCTGTTTTTTCCTGGTACTTGACTGTTATTCCTAGTGAATAATGTACGTCTTGTTTGCATATTCTCAAACGTGCTTTGTTGTTTGTTTGCTTGCTAGCTTTTTTTTTTTTTTATGATGCCTAAAACAGTCACAAATGGTTTTCAGGCACTATCCAAGACTGTGGAAACGTAAGCGAGTGGTAGGTAGCTCTCAGGTAGATGTTAATACCTATGAATTGGGATTTCCTCATGTCTGGTTTCCAAGTGTTGTGGAGGCCACACAATATGTTCCTGCCCAACGCTCTCTAGTTAGCAACGGAGTGACCCTAAGGTCATCAGACTTGAGGTCTACAGCGGCTCAGTCGCTGATTTCTTGCTTCACTGTTTTGTTTCCCAGTCGTCATCTGTGGGCTGTTTCCACCATGTCTGTGCCTCTGGCCTCTCTCAGCTTCCCGGCAGTGCTGGGGGTCTCAGCTGATGGCTGCACAGTGAAAGGTCTTCATGTTCTCAGCTCTGGCTAGAGCTCAAATTCAGAGCAGGACAGCGCCCTCCAGATGATTGTAGAGCAGGGAGAACCCCTCTTCTGTCTTCTCTAAATGGAGTACATTCTAGAATTTATGGAATATTTATATTCCAATATTTATGAAATGATTCAAATTCTTTTTCAAAACTGTGTAGGAAGCTGTGTCTGAAGACGGAGAGCAATGTTTTTTTTTAATTTATTTCTATTTTTTTTTGAGACAGAGTTTCACTCTTATTGCCCAGGCTGGGGTGCAATGGCACCATCTCAGCTCTGCAACCTTTGCCACCTGGGCTCAAACTATTCTTCTGCCTCAGTCTCCCAAAGTTTTGGGATTATAGGTGAAGCAAGGCTTTGTAAATGACTTTGCCCTTTGGTTCTACACAAGGCACTGAAGCCTGCGGAATTTAGGTCTTCCCGCGGATTCAAGGGTCCCTGCTGCCACCTCATCACTCAGCTTCCTCCTCTTGCCCACTCCTCCCTGTTCTTTCTCTGGTCAGGAAATTCTCACACGTTTTGGTCTAAAATGGAAGGAGTGTTGCTTCTTTCACCTGACGATCAATTAATTTACAATTTGCAAGATAATAATTCACAATTAAATCAAATCACATTACCATATTTGTCTAGAAAAGATTTTATTCTTTTTGTTTATTACAGATTGCCTCATGGCCTAATCAAACTTCCACCAGATCATTTGTGAGAGCAAATTTAACTGTCAAATTTACAGTTACATTTATCTGTTGAGTTCTTGATTTGAAATACTTGATATTTGAAATTTCTATTTGATTTCTTTTTATAGTTTCTGATTCTCTGCTAAAATTCTTGAACTTGTCATTGAATGCATTCAGCATATACCATACTATTGGCCCAATATCTGCAAATTCTTTTGGCCCCTTTCTGTTGCCTGTTTTTTTCCTCTTCATTTTGTATGTTTAAATATTGTTGATTGAAATCATACTATGTTTAATACACTTAATATCTATTTAGATTTAAATTGATACTTGATGTCGATTTAAACTGATACTTTAGAAACAATTTTAGTCTGTGGAATGATTTTCACACTCAGGAGACGATTTACTTCTTATTTTTCCAGAATGAAATGCGAGGGCTGTATCAACTTAATGCCATCAAAGTTTGCACTACTTTGGCCCTGGGTGTCAGTGTGATGGAGCCTTGCTACTCCTAGTCATCCTCCTCCTGGTATGTTTCTCTAGCAAGATTTCACCTCAAGACCTCGGTGTGTGTCAGGTTCCCTCTTTTTCTGAAGTCTTTAGGGATAATTTTTCACTTGTCGCCAAAGGATATTTTTGAAAGCTCTGGTTGGGTGCGGTGGCTCATGCCAGTAATCCCAGCACTTTGGGAGATCGAGACGGGTAGATCACAAGGTCAGGAGATCGAGACCATCCTGACCAACATGGTGAAACCTACCAAAATACAAAATTAGCTGGACATGGTGATGTGTGCCTGCAGTCCCAGCTCCTCAGGAGGCTAAGGCAGGAGAATTGCTTGAACCCAGGAGGGGAAGTTGCAGTGAGCTGAGATCGTGCCACTGCACTCCAGCCTGGGCAACAGAGCGAACCTCGGTCTCAGGAAAAAAAAAAAAAAAAAAGAAAAGAAAGAAAAAGCAGCTCTTCGGGGCTCTGAGGCCTCTCAGCCCCTCCTTTCTTTCAGATTCTCAACCTTGGGCCTCTATTTCTGAGCCTGCTTATGTTTCAAGGGACACTGATGACACAAAACTGGTGCTCACCTGTCTAGGTTTCCCTGCTTTTCTTGTCTCCTTGAAGACCGGCTGGGTTGGTATGTGTAATGCCCTATCGTGGAGGTAGATGGGCCTGTTTCCTAATTAATAATTATTAAGCTGAGGCCAAGAAAACTTGAGAGAGTGTTTATTGTTCCCACAAAAAATACCTGTGTGGGATGGGCACGAGCTGGTGCAATCCTGATTGAAGAGGCAGAGTTTAGGCTCTTAGAGTTGGTAGGCGGAGAGGCTGAGGGAATGTTCTCCTTGTGGGCTGGAGGGTTGTGGAGAATTTCTTTTTTTTTTTTCCCATTTATTTTATTGCATTTTAGGTTTTGGGGTACATGTGAAGAACATGCAAAATTGTTGCATAGGAACACACGTGGCAGTGTGATTTGCTGCCTTCCTCCCCATCACCTACATCTGGCATTTCTCCCCCTGCTATCCCTCCCCAGCTCCCCACCCCCCACCGTCCCTCCCCTATTTCCCCCCAACTGACCCCAGTGTGTAGTGCTCCCCTCCCTGCATCCATGTGCAACCATCATTCTCAGCAAACTGACAGAGGAGCAGAAGATCAAACACCGCATGTTCTCACTCATAGGCGGGTGTTGAACGATGGGAGAATCTCTTACCAGCACTTACAGAGATGTTGGCAGGGAAAAAAGGAGGAAGAGGGGCTTGGAGGATGTCAAGGATAAAACATCAAAAATAATCAGACTCTGAGACATGGTGCTGCTCTAATGCATTTAAACATGTTTTCAATTTTTGTTCAACTTTTTGTAGTTGTTCCTAACAGGTTGGTTCCGAATAAGCCATTTCACCGTTTTACAGAAAAAAGTTGTAAAGCAATTTTTGAATTATGAAATGATTCAAATTTAAAAATAGGCTGAGAAATATTATGTATAAAATTACAGGTTGGAGCAA